TCTATCTATCTATCTATCTATCTATCTATCTATCTATCTATCTATCTGCTGCTTTAGCTGGATAGAACTTTAAGGAACATACATTCTCTAAACCCACAGAAAGAATATTGTAAAATAAGAAGAGAAATACAGCACAACAGGATTTCTACATATCACACTCCCTGCAGGCTATCCAATTTAAAAATAACAACAACAAAAAACCCAACCCACCCACAAACCCACCATTCCCCAAAGAACATTTTGCAGATTTTTTAAAGGTCTACGGAGATAGGGGAGACTCCCATTTTTCTGTGATCTGTGTCAAAAATGATTTAAACCTCTAGGGTCAATCTTTGAGAAAGTTTGTTCTCTCCAGCACACAGGATTTTATTCTTACTTTACGTTTTTTTGTAACATGGCAGCCTGGAGATTACAGCTGTAATCTAATACATGGAATTAGAATTTAGTTTCTTACAATCCCCCCTCTCTCCCACCTGCCACCCCCTTTGTCCTCCAACCGCTACCAACTAACTTGGTTTCAGGTGGCCGAAAGGAACCGGTTGGCGACTCTCGAATGTGCCTGGAATTTTGTATCCTGGGAATTGTCCAAGGTGCTAAAATAGACTTGGGCCAAGAGATCAGATTGCAGGACCAAAATAGAACACAGGCCGCAGTGGTGACAGCCTGTCTCCGCCACCTTGGAAATCTGAACTGAGAAGTGCGACAGCCAGACAAACCCAGTTTGTGTCTGGCTCTGTATAGAAACACGAACGAGCAAGCCATGCTAGAAGAGGCACGCTACATGCCTTGTCGCCAGATGCTTCCCGATCCATCCAAACTTGCAGAATGAGTTTTGGACCCCAAGCCAAAAAAGAAAAAGAAAGGATGGTTAAAATCTCACTCTTGGATTTTTCCGTCAGGGGAATGTCTTGGATGGACTACTGCAGCGAGCTTTCTCTGGGGCTGTCCTTGGAGACGGTTTGGAAATGTCAACCAGAAAACTGTAGTTGGGCCCCTGAGTAAATCTTCAGCATGCTGTAAAATCTCCAGGTTCAATTCCCAGTTTCTCCACTTTTTTTTTTTTTTACTATCAATTAATCCTTACAACCATTCACTTAATGGCAGTTCAAAGTTCCAGCAGCCCTGGAAAAAAAAAGGGACTTGGAACAGTCACTAAACGGACCAGTTGTTAAGTCAAGGATTACCTGTTTATGGTTAGTGTGGGTGTGAGCAGAGAAAATCTTAAGCCTAAAGCCATCGTAAAATAAAAACCACCTCAAACGCTATAGAAGAACTATAGAAGAAGCTATAGGCATCCCACAACACTTAAAGATCCAAACTCAAGACCGGTTTTGAGCGCAGAGGTTCATCCTGGAATTGTGTTTCTCTTACAGTCCAGATTATCTCTTGAAATCTGGGCTGGGAACATTTGGTGCGCAGGATAAAAAAAATCAACAGGCAAGTCCATAGGGGAAAAAAAAACCCTCCTTCTCAGGTGTTTTCATCCAAAACAGTTCACCTGCGTAACTGAAATAGCCGTTTTCCCTGGGTATAGGGAAAGCCCAGGGCACCACAAAGCCAATCCAGCCAAGCCTGGAATTTTGTATACTGGGAATTGTCCAAGGAATTGGACAGAATTGCTACTGTGGGTTTTCACTCAAAATGGAATAAAAGGAAAACAAAACGCTTTCCTTCCTTCCTTCCTTCCTTCCTTCCTTCCTTCCTTCCTTCCTTC